GGGGGGGGGGGGGGGGGGGGTTGGGGGATGTACGCGGATCTGATCTCTACCCTAAAGAGTGGAGCGATTGTTTCCAAGAAGACTCCTAACCAGTAAGAGTGTGTGCAAGTGTAAGTGGAAAAAGAAGATAAACTAAGGAGGTGTTTGGTTCAGTCAAGGGAATGAAAGTGACAGATAATGAAAATGGGAATGAAAATGTTTAATCTGTAATGAAGATTTGGGCTTTTGGGGGAATGGGCTCATTATATTATTATATAAAACCAAACAGTTTCTCTTATTTTCATTCCCATTAATTACTACCTAATACCTCTAACCAAACTCCCACTAAGATCTGAAAAATCCATATATATGAGTAAGCACCAACGATATAAACAGAGGCAAGTAAAAGAAAAACATAGCCGATTTAGGGACCCTCCTATTTGTAAAAGAAGTTAATACTAACTTAAGCTCAGGTGTCCTCATATCATGTTCTTGGTGTTCTTGAAGGATCCATCCGACAAAAGAAGAATCTTATGCGATGACAAGCTGAAAGAACTCTTTGATGTCGACACTTTCAATGGGTTCACGGTTTCGAAACTTTTAACCACTCATTTCATAAAAGCTGAAAGGTGAGTTGCTCGGTCTTCCTTGTTAAGAACGTGAATTATTTTTGGGGAAATTTTGCTTGAATTATTTATCTCTAACCGCCTTCCTTGTTACCCTACAATATACATCTTATTTAACAGTTTGAATGGAAAAATGTCGAAAACCAAAGTGATTATTAGAAAAAACTGTTGGTTTTTGCTTCAGTTGTTGCAAAATTACCTTTCTATATGGCAGATCTCTTGCATTTTAACTACTCATTGTATTTAACTATTAGTTTGGTATTTGCTAAAAGGGGTGTTAAAAAAACTGTTGGATCCATCAAGTGCAAAATGCAGACGTCCAAACTGCAAGCTGGACCAAACTGCACGGTACAATTCGTCTTGCGCACCGCATATTTACACACACACACACACACACACACACATATCTATATCTATATATATATGTATATATATATATATATATATAAAGTTATTTAAGGTATTTATTTAAAATTCTATTCTTACCATATTTATAATTTTAATATGATTTAAAAATTTTATTTAAAAAAATATTTTATATTTAATGCATTTAAAATAGGTGTATTTAGTTTTTTTATTTAAAGAATTCATTTTATATTTAAAGCAATATTTTAAAAATTACAATTTTGTCAAAATTATATGTGATTCATAATTAATTAAATTGTTTTTTAAATGTTTTTTTGATCATATGTATATTTTAAAAATTATAATTTTCATCAAAATTATATGTGATTTACAATTTATTAAATTTTAAAATATTTTATTAATCATACGTGATTTAAAATTTGGAAAATGATGATTCAAATTAAATATTAAAAATAATGAAAAAAAATAGAATCATATGTGATGTGTAGTCAAACGCATTTAAAATGTATAAAGTCACATTTTACTTTAAAACGTAATTCATAATTTATGTAATATTGTAGATAACTTATATTTCCCCCCCTAATATGATCAATATACATTAACGAAAATTAACGGATTCGTTTTTAGGAAAAAAACGTCGATTAATTGTGGATATCATATGTGATTTTTGTTAAAAATTGTAAAAAAATTATTAAATAAACTACTCCAATAAATGAATATTTTAAAAAAACATTCAATCACACTTATTTTAAGTATTGTAAAAAATAATAAATAAATAAATATCATGTTTAGATTACGAAAATTATAAATAGATAAAATCATGAATAAATACCTTAATTAAATTTATTAAATAATCTTTTATATAAATAAATGAATTTTCATATATAATATATATATATATATATATATATATATATATATATAGGGTTTATTTCAAATACAACCTATCGCATTTGTACAACCAATGCAACCCAATAAATTCAAATATTTATGGAAATGATTAGAGTTCATTTATTATGATTTAAATATTTATGAAAGATAAATACAGTTCATTAATTATGATTAATACTTTATATTAAGAAATAATCAAAACTTATATGAAATCACATATTAATCAAATGAAATGGACGGTTGAGATTGGGTTGTATTGGTTGCACAAATGACAAGGGTTGTATAATAACCAACCTCTATATATATATATATAACAAATAACATATATGTCATTTTTCATTGATTTTTAAGAAAATTTTATTTAAGCTGTTATTTAATGAAATGATTGGTCCAAAATTATTTTCTTATTTTTTAAACATGTATTATTCTCGTTTGATCTTCTCTTTCTCTCTCTCTCTCTCTCTCTCTCTATATATATATATATATATATAAGTGAGCGATCAAATAAAAACCACTCAATTTGTAAAAACCTCATTCCACCAATCATAATTTTTCATTAGGTTCATTTTTTTGTAATTATGAGAGGTTGATTAATCATTATCATTCGCTAAAGCTTGAGCAATCTTCACACATATGTAGACATACTTGTAACCACTGAATACCGCTTCAGATCACGTACTTGTCAGTCTCTAATCTTCATTTTCAGTCTTCGACGGTTGCTGAAGGTTCTTTGGTGTGAGTGTTGTCTTCTTGAAGTATTGTGGTCTGATAGAATTACAATGCAAATTCTTCAGCGATCACTGAACATATTCAGTGAAGATCGCTGGAATTGAAAATACAGACACATAAATACAACGTAAAAGTGAAAATGGATTATCATCAAATCACTGAGAGAGAGGATCAACAGATCGCCCCCCTCTCTCTCTCTCTCTCTATATATATATATATATATAGAGAGAGAGAGAGAGAGAGAGAGAGAGAGAGAGACGAGTTACGTTACAAACCGCTCAATTCATGAAAACTATGCAAACCATTTTCGACCAATAGAAAAATTCCGTTTTTCCCTTTAATTTTAATAAGTAAGGGTATAATGGTCATTTGATTGTATACTGGTTAATATTGGAAGGTAATAATTACTCTAATTATGGAAACGTAATAATAGAAACATTAAATATAGAAGGTGGTAAATCAATTTTTCTTGATTTTTTCTTGAACTAATCACAGTTTCTTGGATTTGTGCATTTTGTAGTTAAGCGGCCATTTCAAATCGCAATGCTAACCACGATTTGATATTTTGATTGTTGTAACATCGGTTATAATTTATAATAGACTCAAAATATTTATCAACACTATTTTAAAGTCCAAATTGTGCCGACCAATCAGGCCATGCTGTATTTTATGTGGTACTTGGTGATTAATTTTGTCACTTCATATCAAACCATATGATTTCGAAGATTATTGTGCATGAAATTGAAGAACATGGAAATGACCGGCCGCCATCCTCAACCAAAGGCTATGAACTTCATGTTTTGTCGATGACCAAGAAATGTAATTGTCAATGAGTACAACCATCATTCACGATATGAACCAAGTGATGCATGGTCCCATACCACGATTTGGATTACCCTAGTCGTTCGAATATACAAACCGGAAGTATAGTTTTTTCAAAAAGCTTTAGGGCTATATTTGGCAAATAATATGATAAGTTAGTTATTAGGTGGAAACATTTATAGTTGTTGGTTAATAAGTTAATTGTTACCTGTTAAGTTTGGTAAAAACTAGTTATGGATAGATGACAATGTAAAATGATTTAAAAAGACATATTGATAAATTAATTGGGAAAACACTAAGAGCATAATTGAAAATTAATGGAAATAAGTCTCTAGAATTTATCGAATCGCTACTTCAAGCAATATTTTTAAAAAAGTTAGCATGTAAGTTAATTTATGGCTTATCATAACAGAATTATTTCAACGAACTTAGAAGCCAAGTTGGCTGATAAATCAGTTTACAGTTGCAAAACATGGCCTAAGTGTGCGTGTGTGTGCATGTGGAGGTAACCACAGTATATGGTATCTTTTACTTGACTAGTCCATACGATATATGTAAAACGCCATTCGTTTGTTTAGGTAAACTTCAAATCTTTCGACAAGTGAAGGTGGCCCGCAAAACAACATAAGGCATCCAAGGTGAAGCATACATAACACCCAGAAGGCATGTGTAAGAAGAGGCAGGCTTTTAAAAGAACACATTCATCTTTGTCCGTATTGTGTTCCTATAAAGACACGACTGATAGTCATAGTAACCAGAGCTTGGCTCAAGGTGCAAGCAAACTAGGCCTATATGGTTGACTTACGATACTTGCAAGCAGTCAAAACTATTGTATATGATACTTAAGAGTCGATGAGATAGAATTGTGTATTTTAATAATTATCGACTCGCTGAAAACTAAATTCCTTTTTGCTATCTTTTTTTTGTTTTTAATGTTGATCCTTTTATTCTATATTTTTCATGTTTACACTTTTGAAAAGAGTAAGAATGTAGTCCTAAATTTACAATTTGTAAACCAAAACTAATTTAATAATTTTTAAATAGAAACTTAACTTATAAAAATTGATTTTAACAAATAGATATAAAACAAAAGTATTTGAGACATTAGCTTTTTAAAAGTAACATCTTTGTCAACTAGTATTAGATATGAAGTTAAGTACGTGACATGCTAAAGATTAGGCGTCATCAAAAACTCGACCAATCCAATCCAACGCAAAATAATTCAATCCGAAGTAATTTGATATCTAATCGAGTTGTAAATTTTCAAACCGTTAAGTACTGAGTTGATATTGGATTACTAGTATTTGAACCCAACACAATCCAACCTGATAAACCCAATCTCCTTTTATTTCTTAGATTTAATATGATTGTTGAATTTCTATACATTAGACAATTACACTATCACGTACACTCGTCATATACACATATTTTCAATCTATTCACATCTGTATATAACTCATTCGTATATATGTTAAGTAACGATGAACATATATATGTAAATTGGGAAAATTAACTGAATGTGATATACGTAAGAAATATGAATAAATTGTATCAAATGGTTGATGATGAAAAATAAATTATGAATAGAGAAATAACATATTCAAGGTTAGAATAATATTTAAATGTACTAAAGTATCAACCTGACTAACCAGACCAACCCGTATGGCTTGGGTTGCACTTCGGTTTGGGTTGGGTTAGGTTGAGTTAAGATTTTTCAAACTGTAAACATTGGATTGAGTTGTTCAAATACATTTAATCCGATCAACCCAACTCATAATCATAAATATATGGTATTTAAACTTAGGAGTAAATTATGTTTTTAGTACCTGTGATTTGCTAAAAATTGCAATTTGCATCTTTGTAATTTAGAAATTATAATCTTATCCCTATAGTTTATAATTCATTGCTAGTTTTGTCCAAAATCGTAATTCACTCTAAATTTAGTAAAAGAGAGGAAAGCCACAAGAAAACTACATAGAAAAAAATTATAATTTTTACATGATATTAGAGTAAAATTTTGTATTATTATATGACACTACAATAAGCTTGGGTTTATAAGTATCCGAATAAAGTCTTTTACGGTACTTAAGTATATAGGTGTAGACATATATGTCTTATGCAAAAACATTGCAATAGATTTATGACACTTTTAAAATAGAGATCCTATTAGTTTTTATTTTATTTTATATATGATACTTTTGAGACATGTCCTATAAACACAAGGTTTTATAGAATGTTTGAGTTTACATGACACTTTTTCAGATAATGTCATACATATATATGTTGCTTTATTTCAAAAATGTTGAAAAAAACTATTCAAGATGCCGAAAAATGTTGTATCAACTTATTGTATCGCTCATACACAAGACCACATATATAGTTGGCCTTATAAACTCATGTCGTATAAAGTAGTTTATTAAGACATTTAAAGATTTGTGATGTTCTATACATCCTTTTCTCTTTCTTATTTATCTTTGTTTTAAAGAGAGTTTTTAAACTTTTTCCAAATCTCTAAAATAACATAAAAGAAGTTGTGGTATGGGTTGGTTTAAAAAGCAAGAATGTGAGAAAAAAGTCCCAATCATATATTCTCAAAAGTATATTATAGCAAACTGTAACCCAAAGAAAGAAAGAAAAACAAGAATCCCAAAGGTTTTTTTTTTCTGTTTCAGAAATCTGTCTCATTGACTTTGAAGGATGTGTTGGGTATTTGACTTGTCCCACATAGATCCAATCTTAAGATTTCAAGTGCCTTATATTACCAAGGCCATACCTAATGTCAAAATGCCTAACTATCTAGTTGGGTTCACTACATATTAAATATCAAGAGGGCCTTGGGGCTCTTGGGGTCTCTTGATATCGTTAGCGAGATGGCTTGGTGCCAAGAAGCAGTGTGCGACCAATATACGAATTTCTGGTTCTGTTTTGAATTCAATATCGTTGTGCAAATAAATTTTCATTTCTGTATCTAAGTCATAACAGATGATCAAGTGTGCCGGTGGAATTGAATAAAACTGCAAAACAGCATGCAATAAAAAAAGTGTAAGCTAATTTGGATCTCATGTTTAGTAGAAAATGGGAATGTTTCTTATAGAAAAAAATAAAAATATATAGTTGAAGAGATATCCCTTTCCTTTCACTTGTAAGGGATATTCATCCACCTAACAATCACATAACTCCATTCTCCTATTATTCTTTATGTATAAGTAAAGCAAAACCCATATATGGATACCCTCACATCTATTTCTATCTATCTATATCTATATTGCATCTCTCTCTCTCTCTCTCTCTCTCTCTCTATATATATATATATATATATATATATATAATTTTGATCTATACCAGTTAGCACAGACGACTAGTCAACAAAATGAGAAGCAATTAACAAAAGCCTAGGGTTTTCAAGCTAACTAAATAAGAAGCAACTAACAAAACAGGGCCACTTTACAAGTACATTAATTGGTATTAAAATAGTCAAGATTGGTAAAAAAAGAAGTGGCTATTTTGTGTGAATGTCAAAAGAATTTCCCTATTTTGCAATGGGAGTCCTCTAATTTTAGCTACTTTAGTGATAATTGAATGGGATCAATTGAAGTATCTAACTAGTAGACTATGTTAAGTACGAGAAATTAAAACAAATGAAAATTAGGACATGATTAATTAGCATCTAAAAACAAGATTCTAAGATCAAATTTTATGAATGAGATGCATGTATTGTATAACAAAAATGGTAAGAAATAAGGTGGTACGTGTAGAAAGAGAGGGTATAAATTACGACCCTTTATGTGAACCCGATTATTGTTTATCACAAAGAAGGAAAGATGCTGGCTTTTCTTTTTTATTCTCAACTCCCAAAAAATCAACAGAAATAGAAGTAGGAGGCATCGACACTTAAAGTTCAAGGAGTACCAAGTTATGATTAGTGATTGTGACGCATCTGGGCAGAGAAAATGACAATAATTCCTCTCACTCTTAACCACTTCCTGTAGACTTCTCTTTTGCAATAAAGACTCATTTTGGCTTTTTCTTACGACCCACCCTACCCCCCCTATCCATATCCAAGAATGTGTATAATCAAATAAATACTTGTGAAACTGCAATTAAAAAAACAAATAAAAAAAACATAATCTATGTTAGAGATTAAAAGATAAGTGATCTTGTGAGATGGGTTACTAGCTAGTCTTGATGATACACTTTAATTTAGCTCCCAAAATTACCTTTTTATATTACCAATAATCATATAAGAAGAACATTGAATTCAACAAATTATGTAAAGAAAGTTTTCAAGTGTTAAGAGAGAGAGAGAGAGAGAGAGAGAGAGAGAGAGAGAGAGGGGGGGGGGGATTCACCTGGAATGAAAATTTTATATTCGAGGATTAATAGCTGCAGAAGGTGCGGAGCGAGAGTATGACCAAAATCAACACGAAGGAGCAACGTTCCGATCCTCCTCGCTGGCGGCTCTCTGCGCCGGCGGTGGCTGCTGACTTTCATGCGGCAGCAAAAGTTGATGTGGTTGAAGATGGTGGTGGAGGTGATGATTTTGTTCTTGCTGTGGCTGCTGCTGTTGGATCTGATACATGTTATTAACATAAGAACTACCTAACGCTAAAGATGGTGACATGGCTGCCTGAGCCGTCATGGGGCAGAACCCGCCCCCAGTCACCTGCCCAGACCCGCCAGGAGCCTCAAACCCGCCACTAAACCTGACCAGATCAGCCGATGACTGCTGCTGTTGTTGTGGTTGTTGTTGCGGATGCTGCTGCTGCTCGTAGTTCCTTAACATATCCTGTTGTTCCCTAGGATTAGCAACAGCCACCAGTTGCTGTTGCTGCGCCTCAAGTATCTGCGGATGATGCTGTGAGTCTCGGAAATTTCCGGGTCCCGGCATGCCCATCATTGGCTGCATGTTGTACGGTAAAACCGGCACCGAAGATGATGGCATGTTTGGGATTTGTGGGATAAACCCTGGATTCAAAATAGGCAACATSGCAGAAGGGCCAATGTAATTAGCCAATTCTAATTTCGCATTGTGTAAATCACTCTGGACTTGCTTTAACCGGTGCTGGAGAATTGAGATTAGTCCGACACAGCCGTAAACCGGGTCCCTGAGCCGTGCCTCAGCCTCATAGGCCAATGAATTAACAGCATCCTCTCGTTGGGTAGTGTTTAGCTCGTTAAGGATTTTGGCTACATTGCTGGCTCCAAATACCTTGTGTACGTTGGCGAATTTCTGAGGCTGGTCCGGTGGGAAATATGGTGCAAAAACACATTCTTGCGTGCATTTACGGCGTAAAAACTTGCAAGCTGCACAAGGCGAATTCGAGGAGGACATCTTCTCCTTCACCTTCAGAACTGCATACACAAGATTTCAATAAAATTTAGCTTTTCTTCCTGAAAACTGAACAAATTTTGCTTATAGAGAATTTACAAAACCAGATGAATTAATGAACAAATGATTTTTCTAAAGAGAGAAATAACTTCAAAAGAGTTTATAAATGATTCAATATTGCCATCATGATGACAATTATGGACATGTAAATTATAATTAGTACACATAAATTTAAGATGTGTGTAAATGAATGAATAATTATAACATCGCATTCAGCGAAGGTTCATTTACCGATTTTAGAGAAGCAGGTGGTGACAATTAAAGCTATCTTCGTGTATCGAAATCACCAATTCTAAGTCAAATGACGGATTTCTTTATTAAAATTTGGCACAGTTGAATTTGTTAATAATGCGGTCATATCAGAAGAAGACAAAATAAATATTTCTACCCATGATRGAAGAGGAATTGTGGGTACACATGAACAGGAATAACTCCAGATTGAAATTTGAAAACGAAATGAAAGCTTTCTGTAAATGTAAACGAAAATTTTCGTTTCGTTTGGTTTCATATATTACGCGATTGAAGAACGGAATAGAATCAACTTGAAAAGCAAGAAACTGCTGGAAAACCGATGATCATTCCAGATCCAATTCTTCGAAAACATATAGAATAAAAAAAGGAAAGTAGATCAACAGAATCAAACAAATATCGAGAAAATTTAGAAACTGAATCAAATATGGAATTACAGTTATTCCATACCTACGTTTCGATGTCTCACAAAAACCTCGAAAGATCACTCTAATTTTTCTTTCCTTTTCCAACACATAAACGCAACCGCCTGCAAAAACACACGAGAATAAAATCAATAAAATAAACACGATCATTGACATGAGAATGATCGTTTTCAATCAACGAGTCGCATCAATTCATGCTATGGCATATAATATATACATATATTCTTATAAAAATAGCGAGCGATTCATGATATACCTTCTTAGAGCTATACAAGAAGCTAGGGTTTTCAAGTGCATAAAGCTCCTGATCCGATCTTCAACATCCCAAGCAAGATGGAAAACAAAAACAAAAACAAAAAATGAGATTGAAGTTTTCTTTGAAAAAATAACACACACACACATACACACACAAAGCTTATTCAAGAAGAGTGAAAACCATTACCAGGATGTTGACGACGTCATTCGTCTCTGTGTGCGTGTATATTTGTATATACATATAGATACATATATATATATATATATATGTGTATAATATGTATTAATGATTCTGAATATGTGTGTATGTGTGAGAGAGAGAGGATATGGTGTATTCTCTGTCGTCCGATCTGAAGATGAATGTATATTGACCGTCCGATTTGAAAAGTCGGGGTTTGTTACAGCTCGGTTAGAGAGAGAGAGAGAGAGATGAAGTTTCTGAAGGATGATTTAAATGCCATCTGAGTGTCCTTTTTGTCCCTCTTTAGCTTTCCTTTGGTTTCCTTGGGCCGGTGGTAAACAGGATCTAAACTTTTATTTTTAATTTAAAATAAAAATTAAATAAATTAAATAAAGGTTTTCTTATTTTAAATAATTAAGTTATTAAAAAAATTATGAAAAATTTATTGGTAAATTAATTATTGAAATTTCAAAATTGGTTATTAATCTATACTATATTATAAAGCATTTGATAAAAACTCTTAAAAATCATTTTTTATGTACGAAGTACTGTTTATTGATGCATATTATTTAAATTTTGATATTACAAGTAAATTGTGCATAAAAACAACTTATTAAAGCTTCATAGTTGAATTCGTGTAACTAACTGCAGATAAATATAATCAAATATACTGGATAGACATCTTATTTTAAATATAAAAAATCTAAAATATAATTAGGATAATCATTGAGTTCTAACAAAATATTTAGTCATTATCCTTATAAAAAATTATATCATTAAACTTAAATTAAATTTCTTTGTTCTAAATTAAATTATAATTAAAAAAATTGAATTAAGAAAATTACACCGAAACACAATAACTTTTAAAAAGATTAATTTGATATTGATATCGATATATTTTTTATCAAAATTTTATGATAATTCAAATTTATATTTTATTCAAAAATAAAAACATTATCGCTTTCTCAAAACCACATAAACCGTATTATATCGACATAAAAAAAATAAAACGAAACACTGAAATCAAGATGTGTCTCGATACATTGCACGAGTACCCTTCTAGTATTTTTTTTAATACAAAAAACTACCCTGAAAACAGCTTGAAAGGTCTTAAAAAACCTAAATCAGTTTTATCGTTCATAAATCTTACGTCATTCAAACTGATAATCATCGTCCAATCTCTATCACCAACGTTGTCCCCTGCAATCGATCTCCCTCTTTTTGATTTGTTTTTTGATTCTCTGTGTTTTTTTTATATATCTCTTCATGTTCCATCAAGTTGTTGTAAAAGAGAGAAAATCGAAAGACAAAAAAAAATATCAAAAGGAGAGAGATCGATGGCAGGACCGAATGGTATTGGTGGGGGTATGAAGAACCGGCAACGATGGGGAGACGATAATATAACATCTAAGACAACCATGTCAGATGTTGTCCCTTTTTTTCACACACTTGGACTTGCGGTTTCAAAACGCATCTTAAATACTTAAAGTTAATTTAAACATGACTGAAACTAAATTTTGAGGCATTGAGTCAGCCTGACCTTTTTTTGATAGAGTAGTTACTACAATGACAGAGAATATGATGATAAAGTAGTTACTAGAACGAGGTATCCAACACGGAAAATTTGTCAATAACGATAACTGATATATGGTTTTAACGATAATATGACAATCTTTTGTTAATCCGTTAACAACTTTTAATATCATTGACGGATCACCGAGGGTTAATCCACCTATCAAGGAGTTTAAAAATCTTTAGTTTCATTTTTTTATTAAATCATTTGTAATCYGTAAGTTGATTTCTTGGTGGATTAATTGAGTTAATGAACGTTGCTTTATTTATGCTATATTATAAAGCATTTTGAAAAAAATTCTTATAAACTATTTTTAATGTATCAGATACTGTTTAACGATGCATATTAWTTAAAATTCAAGATTAGAAATAAATGATGTATAAATACAAAAAAWTTAAAGTTATATRTTTGAATTCATACAGGTAACTCATAAACATAATCAGATACATAATAAACATCTCATTTTAAATATACAAAATCTAAAATATAATTAAGATATACCGGAATCTTTAATTATTATTTTATAATAAAATTATATTATTAAACCTAAATAAATTAATTCGTTATTAAACTTAAATTAAATTATAATGAAAATATTGAACTAAAAATTATCTCTATAACACATTATATTATTAGACCTAAAATAAATTACTTTGTTAAACCTAAATTAAATTATACTAAAAAAATTATATAAAAAACGAGAACTTTTAAATTGTTAATTTGATACTAATATCGATAGAAATTTTATGGGTCTTCAAATGTATATCTAATGTAAATATAAAAACATTATTATTTTCTCAAAACGATATAAAACAGTATTATAAAAATAAAGATGTATCTCGTTACATTATGCAAATACACTTCTAGTATATAATAATATGTTTGTAAGAGTTTTAGGAACACAAAAACCAACCTTTTTTTAGTTAAAATTTGACATTTAAACATTTGATTAGTTAGTAAGGGTTGAGTTTACGTGAGACCAATGGTTTTTCTCGAGACCCGTAAGACTAATTTATGTTCATTGATCAACTTTATAAACTAATGATCTAATAGTATAAAATTGTACGATGACAATTTTGTGATTATTGAGAAGTCTCATGGCAATTTTATGATTATGAATGTTCAGATTATAGATCTAATCCAAAGATTGAAAATTGGTCTTACAGAAAAATCATTGGTCTCACATGATCCCAAGTCTAATTAAGTAATAAACTAAATTAGAGCACCTTTATCAGCAAAATGAGTAGTGATTTATAAGAAACCTGATGCTTTTTAGGTGCTTAAACAAAAATCTTGGTTCATGTAATTTGTGATAATTTGCATTTTCCTTATTTTTTAAAAATATTCTGTAAAATAGCGTAAATGAATTTTAAATTATTAGTGATTAATAATAAAGAAATCTACACGGCAAGCAAAGAAGACGAGACGTCGCGTGAGAGTTCAGGGTTCCAAACTGTCAACATTTTCACCAATAAGATATCTACATCTGTCAAATCCCAGGGGTATAAACGTCAAATCATTCTCATAATCTGTGTTGACCAAGTTACAACGTGATATATTTGATTCACTTTTAACATATCACTTTATGAAAATTATTAGAGAAAATTACAAATATAAATATAATCCCTGTGATTCCTTAAAAATAAAACCTTTTTATCACTGTATTTTTTAAATTACGACATTTTCATTGTGATTTATAGAAATGTTTGGATTTGTTTCATCTTTGTTAGGGTGCTCAAAAACCCGACCAACCCAACCCAATTCAACGCAAAATAGTCCAATCTGATGTCTAATCGAGTTGTAAAATTTTCAAACCGTAGGTATTGGGTTGATATTGGGTTACTATTATTTGAACTCAATCCAACCCGATAATCCCAGTAATAAACTATATATATATATATATATTTATAATAAACTATATATATATATATATATATATATATATATATATATTTACATCATAAGTACATGTATAATTAAAATTTTATTAAATTATCTATACTATTTTATAATGCATTTGACTAAAACTCTTAAAAACTCTTAAACCCGTTCATCCCAAAACGATTTCATCCCTATCCGATTTCATCCCATATTTGAATTCATGTAACTAACTGCAGATAAACACAATCAAATACATGATAAACATCTCATTTTAAATATAAAAAATCTAAAATATAATTAGGATAATCATTGAGTTCTAACAGAATATTTAA